GGTTAAATAAAGGTTAAATAAAAGGGTTAGTAAGCGAACAGAGAAATCTAAACTGTTAGCAAAAACCGGATAAATCACTGACACATCCAGCTTATGCCACAAGTAGGAGTCTGCAAATGCAAGGTTAAAACTAAAACTGACAGTAGGAAAGAAATGTAGTAATATTATCCACTTTTATATAGTCCAGTTTAAATGGACAGATGTGGAACATTAATAGTGCTGATAAAGGGGTACTCGAGTTCATCTGAGAGGAATGTGGGGGCACGTCTAAAAAACAAATGCTGGGAACCTCTGGATTATTTGATTAATTAAAAATGGTGAAACCTGGCCTTCATAACCCCCCCCCCAATTTACAAGGTTATAAAACAGAGTAAGCGGTAAACCCTCAGGTTTGAGAACAGTGAACCAGTGAATAGTTGTCATCGTGTCCATGAATGACAAACGATTAACCCAAATGAACATCATAACGTCCTCCCACACAACCACCTTCTACTCCAACACACAACCACTTAAAAGCACCAAGGCCCAGCACAAACACGACCCACACACACTGATAACACACTGTGGGCACTGTGACTGTGTACCTTGATTCGTGGGTACAGGAGGAAGGACTTTGACCTTCGGTTTTCTTCCTCTTTTGCCGGGCACCTTAACAGGCACCTGAGCTGGTCCGGGGGCCACTGCGGCCCCTGCCGCTTTCCCCCCTGCCACATTCTTCAGCTCTGTCCCGCTCCCTTTCCTGCCCTCCTTCCCCTTGGTCCTACGATCCTTTCGCTCCTTGCCTTCCTTGGGCTCCTTGCTCTTCCTCAGTGTGACCACCGTCACCTCTTTCTCCTCCTTTCGTTTCTTTGGTTTGCTGCTTTCGGTTTCCCCCACGTCCCCACCTCCTTTCTCCCGTTCTCGCTTGTCCTTTTTCTTCCGTTTCTTCTTCACCCTTCCTCCTCCTCCTCCATCGTCCTCCTCGCTCAGGGAGGAAGGAGGTCGCGGGGCTCCTCCGGAGTGCTTAGAGGCGTGGGCCCCGGCCGCCGCGCAGTGATTGGACGTCGCCGTGCTGCCCACAGGGGTGAGGAGGCGGAGCTGGTCCTTGGGGCCCACAACCAGGTGTCCCCGTGGGATTGTGGGAAGTGTGGTTTGTGCCTTGCTGTTTTGGTCCGAGGCAGAGGAGGAGGCTGCTGCAGCGGAGGCCGAAGGTGGCGTGTGCTTCAGGAGGCCAGTGAACATCTGAAACAGAAGCGTCATAAATTAAGTTTACAATTATCATAGTGTTCTCGTAGTTGGCTCTACTTCACCCGGAGCTTTACCACTTTTTGCTCTCATGTTTTACTCCCTGACTTTCAAGGGTCAAGCCAGAAATCTTGCCGTTACCTTGGACACAGATTTAATCTAGTACTTACTACCTTCCCTGCTTACTACCTTGTGAAAAATATTGCTAAAATCAGAAGATTAATGTCAAGCAAGATGTAGAAAAGCTTATCCACGCCTTCATTTACAGGAAATTTAATTACTGATATCATCTGTTCATAGGGCTTTCAAAAAAATCTCTTTGTCAACTCCAACTTATTCAGAACACCGCTGCCAGGGTCCTCACAAAAACTAGGATATACGACCAGTTCTAAAACCCTCACACCGGCCACCTGTCACTCCTCAAAATCTTGCTGCTTGTCTACAAATCACTCTGTGGCTCTGGGCCCAAAGGCATCGCTGATACGCTCGTACCATATGAACCTCCTAGAACCCTTAGGACATCTGGGCCTAGCCTACTGGTTTTCCCAAGAGTCGGAAACAAAAAACAGTGAATCAGCATTTTGTTGTCATTCAACACAGACCTGAAATAACCCCCCAGGTAATATCAGACAACCCCTATTCTCACCATTATTAAAGTCAAAGCTAAAAAACAGGATTTTACACTGCTTGCTCTAAATGTAGGAATATGTGCGGTGTTCTTTTATGTTTTCATTTTCAATTGATTTAAGCTGAACTAGTTTACTAATGTGTATCTCTTGTATCACTTACTTTGGCACTTTTTAAATTGGAAATCTTTTGCCTTTGCTGTGCATTTTATTACCCTTTAAAGCACACTAGTGTATGAAATGCGCAATACTAATAATGTTGGCTTGCCTTTCACATTAAAAGCTTTCCAGCTGCTATAAAAAGGGCCTAACCCCTCCCTTTCCTGTTCGCCTTTTAATGTGAAACATCTGCAGGAAGAGTTGCGTTTCCTTGAGTCAGAACACTGACTGAAAGTGTTTAGGAATTAATTAGTGAATGAAAAACAGCATTTCTGTTAGAGAGAGAAAAGTAACAGAGTGGTGAGAATGACACGACTGTTGTTGTACTAATGGAATTAATGCGGTGGAAATTTTCAGTGTGAGTCATAATATCAGTAATTCCACCCTCACTCAGTGTTTTTTGCCTTGAGTATTGACCAGCTTGTGTTTGTTTGTACTGTTTATTATTATTATTTTTATTATTCAGTTTTAACAATGGATCCAATGACTATGTGCAACCTGAAAAGAGTCGCTCATACTCATACTCAGCAGTTCCCGTCAGCTCAGTGGAGCTTTTGGCATTTCAGTTCACTGTTTTGGTTTTTACTAGCTAACACACTGTTTTGGTTCAGTCTCAGGCAGCAGGATTTAGCTGAGAAAGCTCTTAAAAACCAACTGTATGCTTCTTGCCCAGCACCAGACAGCAGACAGATTCATTTAGCAATTAGCTGGTGAACACACTGGAGCATGTAGCAGCTAAGGAACCAGACATTTCTCAGGAGTTAGTCGAGACCCTAACAGAGCTGAAACAGGAGTGTAATAATGGAGTAATGAACATACAATAGGTGGCCAGGAACACGACATCTGTGTCTGCTCTGATGTGTAAATTGGCAACCATTTGCTAACATGTTTGCCGTATTATCTCCATAAGGTGATAATGTGTCAATGTGATATTTTATTCTTTATATTGAAGCATAAACCAACCAGATCCTAAAGGGACACTCTTAAGAGACAATTCTGGGGCCTAATCCGCTCCTACAACTGGGTGTTAGTTTCCCTCAAAGTAATGGGAATCTTTTTAAAAACACACGTGAATCTCGCCATTTCTTGTTTCTTATATGTTTGATTCGGATAATATAACAATAACGGACAGTACCTCCCCAGGAGTTTCGTGTTAAAATAGGGATCCAAATATACTTCATCCAACTTTTACAGGTAAAGGGCTTATATAGCATTAATTCATTAGTTACATAATATTAATATGGAACCCCTATTTTCATTACACATCGTACACTGAACTTTGTCATACTGAGGACTAATCCAGAAACACTGAAGTTATACCAACCATGGCCATTTAAAGGAAGTATTTATTAGAGCATCAGCGCTTTTGGTGGGCTGGCCTATAAACACACTATGGCTTTTGTACCACTTGAAG